TATTACAAATGAAAAAAATTTGTCTGTATTATCCATATGTATTATAGCCCGCCATTTGGCGTGAAAACACATAGACAAAATTTTCTGTCTGTAATTTAAAAATTAGCAGGGTTTTTGGAGCGGGAGTTATAGAAAAAAAATCCATCTGTAAATATGATTATTTTTACCGGCTTTTCATTTGCTTATTTACAAACAGATTTTTTCGGCTGTAATGGTCTTTGGTAGATTTATAGACAGAAAGACCCATCTGTAATTGAACTCTTAAAACACACTGTTTCATTAAATCATTTACAGATAGATTTTTCATTAAATCTATAATGTGTGAAACCCATCAAACTGCGCCTACTCCTTCTTTTTCTCACTTTTCGTTATTTTTTCTTTCTCTCATCTCCCTGTCTTTGTCTCTCTCTAGCATTATCAATTTTTTGGCCTTTACAAGTGGCTGAAGCATTTATTTGAAAAATAATTTGCATTATTGTGTTGTTGGTACGATATTCTAACTTTTAATCGGTTTAAATTTTCAATTTTTGATGTATAATAGAGACTTAAAATTTCTAAGATAAAGTTATAAGATTGGAGATTGTATGATAAGGAGACATGTCCTTCCCCGAACTTAATTACTGTGTGCTGTGGGGTTGTTTGTGCTTGCATAGATTGTAGAATATGTATGTTGTGGAGTTATAAGGGGATGTGCTCTAGAACGGTTTAGGATTATGATATGTATATTTTTTATGCATTGATTAATAATAGATTGTTATATAATATATAGATTATGTGTAAATTTTTTTTTTATTTTTGTATTAAGTATGTGTAAACAAATGTAAGAAAATATTCATATATTAACGGAGATTCAGCCGAAATTTACATTAGAAATTTGTTGTATTAAGTGTAAACAAATGTAAGGAAATATTCATATATTAGGGAAAATTCTGCCTAAATTTACATATGAAATTTGTGTAATGTAAAATACAAGGTTGATACGACATTGTGTATTTGGTCTCTAAACATATATTATATTTGATTCAGATATGACAGGTAAAGGTACGAAAGGTGTTACTCAGCGTCCTGATCGTGGCAACACTCCTTCACTCACCGCTCCCACTTCAACTTCCACATTAGCTACTGTGCAAACCTCCCAAGCTAGGGGCAGGAGCAGTTTATCATGGTGCCCAACCCTAGGTATGTTGCTCCTCCTTCTTCAGTACAGCGAGTTTCACAGTTTGCACCATCAACTACATATGCCACACAGTCTCCTTCACTGTCGACTACACATGTCACACAACCTCCTTCTACATAGGACACATGTGTAAGTCATCCTTATTGACACTGTATGTTATTATTAATGATTTATTAAATAGTTCTCAAGACTAATATATAATTATCTGCATTAAACTATAGGATGATTATGTTTAAATGCTTGAGGAGACATCTTCTCAAGATCCAGAGTCAGTTGATGAGGATACTATATGGTCAAAGACGGTGGGTGGCCTTTATAAATGCTACATTTACAGCATGGGGAGCCGCTTTGCAGATTCCATGTCCCTTGCATCTGTCATTGGAGATGCTCCTTCTTTTGCACTTGAGGAAGTTGAGGACATGGTCTGCACTCAAGTCTATGCCTTCAATGAAGAATTGCATAAGAAAAATGAGGAGATGTGAAAGACTAAGGAAAGTGGATGGAAGAAGAAGTGGGCAAAGAAAATGGAGAAGATAGAGAAGAAGGTGGCATCAAGGATGCAGAGGGAGGTGTAGCAACAACATATACAAATGCAGCAGATGCATGCATACTTTGAGCTTATGAGAGTAAGCAGCTCCACACCTCTTCCTCCTCCTTCACCAGCTCCAACACACCAATCTTCAGCTCCATGCGTCATTCCTCCTTCAACTCTTCCTCTACTGATGGTGATATTTTTTCAGAAGATAATCACACCGATTATTAGTGATATACAATGTTATTTTATTTTTGACATTATTTATTAAGATATTTACTTCTTCATTTGTAATAACATTTTAATTTTATATTTTATAAATAATTTCTAATTTTAAATATATAATTTTGTAGTTTTTATTATGTTTAAAATTTGTGATAATTAGGATCAACGAGGAATAATTATATTTATAAAAAAAATAAAAAAATTAAATTTCATAAATGAATTAAAGATAAATTTTTTCGTCTGTAATTTACAAACAAATTTTTTCGTCTGTAACTTACAGACGAATTTAAAAATTTATTTGTAATTATTTATCGACGCGCATATTGCAGACAGACTGGAACCGTCTGTAAATTTGGCTATAATGCTAAAATTCATTTGTAATAATTAAAAAATATGTCTATATTTGTAGGTTTTCTTGTAGTGTGTGACATTTAAGAATAGAAGCAAAACATAAAGCATCAAACACCTTTAAGAAGAATAAATTAGGTGATTTTCTATAAATAACTTATAGGGACTCTTAGTATTATGCATAAGTGTAGGGATCTTGTTAATTAAAAATTCACAGTGAGCAACAACATAAAACTTAAAAGTTTTAAGTAAATTACTTTGAAAAATTAAAGCACAGGTAATATTCATTATGTTTTGGTGTTTTTTTTTTCTATAATAGAATTTTGTTGTGGAGTTTCAGCATAATTAATTTGATGAGTGATATCTTTCATATTGTAAAAATTAATCATGTTAAATTTATTCTTTATTATCAATTTAAATGGTGCTAACCTGGGTATTAAATTGAGTTCCAACCAAAGAAAATAAATTTTAGAGAATAGACTAAACTTCATATATATTTTTTATCAGATATATCTAAGTATATCTTGAATGATCATCAACAATGATGAGAAAATAATAATAACCATGTAAAGAGGAAATGGATACATGACTCCATATATCAGCATATATTAATTCAAATTTTGCAAAAGATCAAGTATAACTTAGAGGGAATGAAGGCTTTCTTTGTTTGGAAAAATAAAAATATTACAAACATAATTTTTATTATAAGTGATGAAAGGAAATTGTTCTTTTACTAGAGAATCTTATCAGTTGATGGGTGTCCTAACTTGCAATGGTAAAGAGTAGATATAATATTAACAATATTGCACTTTTCATAAAAAATAAAATTGTCTTGAATAAATGGTGTAGGTGACATGAGTTCAATTAAAACATAAAGTCCTCTTTCAACTTTAGTTGCACCAATCATTTTAGAGGCATTGATAATTAAAATGACACACATACAATTCTAGGTTAATTTGCAAGCAATGTTAACAGTTAACTTGGTAATTGAATTAAGTTGAATTAAAATGTGGGTAGATAAAGAACACCAGAAAACACAAAAGAAGAGGAAGAGAAATGTATAGTTCTTGAATATGTAGCAAAAAGATAAGTACCATTAAGAAGTCTTGGATAGGAAAATTTCTTTTGTAAGAAAAAAATATGTAAGAGAAGTAAAGATGTGATATGTTGCACTAGTGTCATGGATCCATCTAATTGGATTAGAATTACATAATAAGAGTTGACTAAAGCTCCTTCTCCACTACCACTTGAATCTTGTTGAGGAAGAATGACAAGAAGGCTTTTGTATTAATCAACAATGAAGCCAACTATGGTTTCATTATTAGCAACAACTTGTGACTCTAGTTATGTGGATTATGCTACATCCATGTTGGCAACCTTGTTGACATATTTTGAATTCTTAAATTTGAACCTAATTGAAAAGTCATGTTTTTCTGTAACATATATTAATAGTATGACCACTTTCTCCATAGTGAGAGCATACATTCTTGTTGTTGTGTTTGAAAGTAGATTGACCTTTCTTGAAATCATAAGTGAGCTCAGTAGAGTTGAGAAAAATTTGTGTTAGAACCAGTTTCAACATAAAATTATGTTTCTTGTGCAATTAAAGCAAACACTTCAGTAACATTGAGAAGATGATCCATAAGCATTATTTGGGATTGAACTCTCAAATATTGCTCATTGAGACTTCTCAAAATCTGACAACATAGTTTAAATTGTGATATACTTTGATCTTAGTTGGAAAATCATAGGTGCAGGAAGCACCATAGGTACAGGTAGGAATAGGCTTTAAGATATCAAACTTGTCCCTTAAGGTGAATATGTATAGTGTTAATTGATTAATTTCAACTGTTAACTAACTAATTGTATCATTATAAGAATCTCTTACAATTTTAACAAAAAAATATTATATAATTTGAGATTATACGAGTTGCCAATTATAACTGTTAACTAACTAATTGTATCATTATAAGAATCTGTTACAATTTCAACAAAAAATTATTATATGATTTGAGACTATACGAGTAACTAGTACTACGTGATCTTAAAGCACATAAAAATTTCTTCATTTTAATTAAATAAGGTGGTTTTATAAGGCTTTTTTATTAAGGTTTAACAATTTTTTTTATACTTTTTAAAAGTTTTTTTTAATGTAAGATATTAATTAAGTGATAATTTTTATTGGATTTTTTTGTCGTTCTACGTCATTATAGGTATTGACAAAGAGCAATAACAAGAAATTAATATTCCATTAGAAATATCATTTTAATATTTTCTAAACACATGCATTGTTTATAAGAGGATATTGATAATATCTGTAGTAACTATTACTACTAAAATTGATTTTCAAAATCATAATCATTTAAATCTTCGTTGAAATTAATTATGTTATAAGATAGATGCATGAACTACTGAGCGGGAAATATTAGATTATTTGATTCTGTTAACTAAGAACTAATCACACTACGCTCGCAATGTTTTTGCCTTTCCTTGCTTTTGCCTCAGTTCGCGGGTTCTAACTTCTAACAACATTCAGTGCTTACGAAGTTGAAATTTGCAGATCTGACAACATTGTCTGCCATCATTTGTTCCTAAGATTTAACACTGAAAAACAGTTGCTTGTTGGCTGTTGCATGTGGATTCAGCGTGGTTCATTTTCAGCAATCATCATTAAGGAAAAAAGGATCTCATTCAAAGAAACAGAAATGAAAAAAAATGTCAATCTTGAGAGCGAAATGGATTCCAAATCAAAAGTGACAACAACAAAAGATTGGGAATTGCAATGGGTAACAGGGGGTTAACATTTTTGGCACGGTGTTTCCTAGCCATCCTCTTCCTAACATAAGCTCTCCTTTGTTGGGGTCCCCACTGAGCTTCTTCAACTCCATCGGCAAGGATCAACGGTGGGGGTTGATGGAATGGGCATTTGGATCTCCAAGAGGTTTGAGGAAGGCCCATTCCGAAGACCCTTTTGAGGAAGAATGAAAAGCCCCATCTTTTGAGAAGGGATGGATTAGGGCAGAGGATTGGTGGGTAGTCCCAATTGAGATAGCATGGGATTTGGGTGGCAATGAAGAATTGAGAGTGGAGTGTTGGGGTGGTTGTGGGGCTTGTAAGGATGTGGGTTAAGGCTTGAAGCCTCTGCTCCCATGTTGTATCTTCCATGGTTGTCTTTGCAGATGAGAATATGATTTTGGAAGATCAGATAAGGTGTTGCCTATCAGAAAAATCAAATTCCATGAATTAAACCAAAAAGTAGAGTAACGCTCACGGCTGCTGAAATGGGCTGGCCCGATCCTCCAAGTTTTAAATTTTAGACTTGAATAAAACTTTGATACAAAAACTTTCTGAGAAAAAAGAGAGAGATTTGAATAGACTTGTATTAAATTTAATCAAATTAAAAACCCGCCTTTAATCTGAAAAAATTAAAAAAATGTCAATTTTTTTAAGGGTTTAGAAATCATTTACGAATTTAAATTTAATATAAAATTTTAACTTAACCAATTAAAGTCTATTTTTTTCAACGGGTCAGTCTAAATACATTAGATAGTCTGTTTGGTTATAACGCTAATAATACCTTGCTTATAATTTATTACATAAAAATAATTTCATAAAAAAATTGTTTCTAAAAAAGGTAAAACTAAGTATGTACATAATTTATTTGCTTAATTTTAAAACAAATTTACTTTCAATATGTCTTACATTTATTTAACTTATGTAAATATTTTTATTTTCTTATTTTATAAATTTTCACTTCGAAGAAGTTTTATGTTTCTTTAACTCTAACGAGTATACACGTTGACAACTATAACCTTCGGTTCTTCAGAAGATGTTTTTGAAATTAGAAAGTAGAAGCGTTTAAATTAAAAGTTGTTACAATTATTAATATAAACTTGAATCGATCTTAAATTATATTTAGTTTTTTTTTTTTTTCTAAATTTCGACTTTTAACTAGCTTTTTTAAAACATGTTTTGAACTAGTTTGATATCAAATAGTTAATAATCTTAATGTATTTTAGAACTCATAAAATAAAAGGAGATAAAATTTGATATGATAAGAAAAAGTTAGGTGAATCCACAATGTTTTGTTTTTTTACACAATTTTAGGAAAAGGCTCAAAGGACACTTACAGTTCCACTTAGATGCGAGACTTCTTGCTCTACTCACTTAGATGTATACTCTTTTGACTATAAGAAAGAATAAAGTAAAATCAAAGTTGACAAGTGTCAAAAAAAAAATTTCTGTTTCCAAGTGACATTTTGAAATAAATTGCATTCCACTCTGGTGTTATATATTTATTATCAAATTATCATTTTAATAGCTATTTTTCATACTTAAATGATCACATAAGGATAGTTATTCTATTAAAAAGTGTGATTAATTTGTTGCAGTAGCAAAGACATCAACAAAATAACCACTCCACACAGCAACAAATGCACCAATTGTTTCAAATATTTTATTATCATGTAAACAATCGATTATAAATTACTAAAAACATGTTGGAATTTGAGGAGCGATTATAATTTATATGTTTCTCTTTTTTCGGATGAATAATATTATCTTCTCCTAAAAAAAATTATGTTTAGCAAATAGCTACATAAATGTTGGAAGGAGATGTTACTTAAGAAAGGATTTTCCATTTATTAGGTATGTACATCTTTAATTTTTTTCCCGTAAGAACTTGTTAACACTTTAATTAGTTCACCTCTCTAGTACGGTCCATGAAAGGTTACAAACACCAAAACTAGTGATTCTATATTCCTTGAACCTTTGTTTCAAATAATTAGTATAACTGAGATTTAAAAAGTGAAAAGAAAAGAGTAACTTTATCCAAATATAGAAGTAAAAATTATTATTAAGATAAAATTTAAGTATACAACTTTTTTTTTTAGTATATAATATCAATCAAACTTTATTTTATTAGGTGAAGTCAGATACATAGATTACACAAAATTGAGTTCAATAAAAAACTAAATTTTTAAAAATTTAATTAATTGAAAGTTCTTTTTTATCTTAAGTTTTGTTGAGTCTCTTTTGAGTCGTCTTTTTATCAAATTAAGAGTTATGCAATCCATATTTTTTATTGTCATCTCTAAAGGTATTATTTGCACATTAGCAAACTACCTTAAATGATTTTCAATCATTTTTTTTACTATATGTGTTACTCCAATATTCTTTGGTATATTATCATTTTGTATCATATCTTGTGTGTTTACTCATCCACCTTAACATTTTCATTTCAATAACTCCCACTTTTTTCTTGAATTGTTCCTTTAAAACCCAACATTCATTATTATATAGAATAGATGGTCATATTTTAGTACAGTAAAACTTTTCTTTTAATTTTGATAAATACTTTTCTGTCACAAATAACTTTTTGTCTTTCTCCACCAGATTCTGTATTTTGTAAGTAACATTTTCATTAATTTCTATCATTTTGTATAATTGATCCAAAGTACTTAAAATTTGAAACTTATGATATAATATCATCTTTAAATTTAACTTTCAACGCATGATCATTATCTTGTTTTTTGTTAACCTACGATGCATATACGTTGTCTTACTTTTTCTAAAAAAAAAACCTTAGATTATAAAGTCTCCCTCCATAAATCAAATTTAGCATTAACCTTTTATTTTGAATCTTCAACCAACACTATATCATCTGCAAAGAGTATGCATTAGGAGTTAATATTTTGTATGTCATTTATAAGCACATATAAGACTAGATTAAACAAGTAAGAGCTCAAAGCGGAGTTTTGATATAAACTTTTTAATTGAAAAGTCTTTAGATACACTTCTAGAAGTGCTCACACATGTAGTTACCCTCTTGTACATGTTTTGTATAGCCAAATATATGCGACACATACTCTTTTCTTTTCTAAAGCATTCTATAGCACTTCATATGCCTTTTTCAAGTCAGTAAAAATCATGTGCAAGTCTTTTTTTTTTGTAACAATATATTTTCTATCATCTTTCATAAAAGATATATAGTTTTTGTTGTAGACCTTTTTGGCATAAAACCAAATTGATTTTCTGTAATCTCAATTTTCTCTCTAATATATGTTCAATCATATTTTTCCACCACTTCATAGTGTGAATTTAATCCCTCCATAGTTTGCACAATTTTGGATATTACCTTTGTTCTTATATATAAGAATCAAATTGCTCTTACTTTGTTCATCTAACATATTTTTATATCTCAAAATCTCATTAAAAAGCTTAGTAAGTCATTTCAGTCCTTGTTTTACCAAACTTTTATAGGGATATTACCATAACCAATCGTTTTACCACTCTTCATCCTCTTAAGATGTTCTTTTACTTCTCCACCTTGAATCCTTCGGTAGTATGCTAAATTTAGATCATTCGCTTGCACTTTTAATCCTATTAAATTTTCACTTGCTTCTTATCTCTCATTATAAAGTTTATAGAAATATTTTTTCCATTGGTCTTTGATGTCTTGATTCAAAACTAAATTTTTTCTTTCTTCATTATTAATACATCTAACTTAATCTAATCTCTAAATATTTTTTCTTTACTTTTGGCAAGTTTATAAATTCTTCTTTCATCATACTTTATCCCAAAATCTTGATAGAACTTTTCAAAAGTTTTAAAACGTGTTTCACTCACTACTTGTCTTGTCTCGTTTCTTATCTTTTAATAACTTGTCCAATTTTTAACATTATTTCATGTATACAAAGTTTTAAAACACTATTTTCTCTTTAATCTTCTTTTGCATATTTTCATTTTACCACAATGATTTTGTCTTTTGATAAAAAAAAATTTCTAAATTCACTTAAAATTTTCTTGACAACTTTCCTTATCTTTGCAGCCATATTGTTCCAAATGATTATAATTACGCCTTTTATATTGTTATTGCTGAACTATTACACTTGCATTCTAACGAAAATAATACAACAAATCCTTATAAATAATACCTAAATCTTGCCTATATAATTAGGGTCTATTGCTGTTTGTATGGTAAACAAATTCTTCGTATCCTACTATACATATCTCTTTTCATAGAGGCTAAATTCCATTATCATACCATTATCTTCCAATCTCTTTAGATCTAGTTTTTTAACACAAGTATGCGAGTGCATAGGGCTAGCAGGTAGCAGCATGTAGTTCAGGATCCTTTCGGATAGGTATTTACAGGCGGTAAAAGTTGAACAAAAATTGCTAGTATTCTCGGCTACTTGCAACCATATAGATCTAGAGTTCAAAACTACTTTGACACCGTCACTGAGAAACGTATCATATGCTCTTTAAGCACAATTGTTGGAAGACAGCGTCAGTTGTCACTGTAGAAATCAATACGAGGACATTTTCCCGTTCAGAGAAAAAAGTCTGGCCTGCCCAGCAATTATGATGAGAGCAACATCCAGGCACTTAATAATGGAACGGTGATTAGAGCAGAAGCCTGAAAACACGTAACTTTGATCAAAGAATGACAAAAGGTATAAAGAACTTCTAAAATCCTAGAATTTATTCATCATTTCATCTAAAACTCATGTTTGATTAGTAAACTGAATGCTTTAAGCGTACCAGAAAGAACACGAATTCATCATTTGCAAGACATGCCGTCAATTCATTTCTCTTCATCATATCTTTGATGAAACCTTGAAGCTACACATTAATATGTTAAAAAATTGCTGCTGCATAGATGTTGAATTTCTTGAAAGAAGAATGCTTAAAATGCTATACAATAGACACTCAAAAGGCCTCGCTATATTATGAAACCCAATGATATTATGAAACTTAAAACATCAAATATTAACTAAACACACACACATACACTCACACTCATGCAGACCTGATGGTGATACTTTTTGGTCAATGAAGAGCATCTCTTCAACTGATCCATAGCCTGTGAGATGAGTGTCCTTTCACCAAAGACATATGAATCGAGTGCCCGTAGATCATCAAGAAGACTGTAGATAATCTATGAAACAAAGATATGGAAAGGGATACGAGAAATCATGAGTAATGGCATAGATAACTGGCTCCTGCTAGCAAGCCTTAGCAATTTCTCACATATCTTTAAATAAGAAATGTAACACTGGACAAGTGCACTGAAGGCCTTTGCAGATTGGATAAAGTATTACTTATCTTTACATTAACAAATTAGTCTGAAGTTCTCAAATTAGTAATCTGAAACACTTAAATTTACCTTCAAGAATGTGCATCTTGTTAAACTCGCTAGCTTTTGAGCCTTTGCAGTCCTCATCTTTACAGACACACACAGTGCACACAATGAAAATAAATGATAAGCTCAAGAAACACATGAAAAGAGATAAAAAAACATGTTAACATTTCCAAAAATATTAAACTGGAAAATAAATTCCCTATACTTTGGTAATGTGAAGAGCCTGCTCAAGATGCTGAACTTGAATCCACTGTTCAGTCACAATGTCACCCATCTGAATGGAAAAGATTAATAGCATCAATTTTGGGGCATCAACAAGAATATCTTAAAATAATGAATGATCAAGTATTTGATAAAAAAAATTTGACATCCTCTGTAGAATATGTGCACTTGCTCTCTCAATACTAAAGGCTCTTTTCAGGTATCCACACTCTACAGTTCTAGTTGTATGTCTTTGAATATAGGATTCAGTAATTATTGAGGATAAGACATAATGTAGATTTCATTGTTTAGGGTACAAACTGTTGCAACAACAGTCATTCCCTTAATATGCACAATAATTCTCCTCTGTAAGAACCATGTTTAGTTGTTAACCACTAAAACCAGATGTAAAACACCAAATAACAACAACAACAACAACAATAATAATGGCATAGATAATGCACAAACCTTTTCAACTTTTGCTGTTATCTCTTCCAGTCTTTTTTCAGCATCTTGTGCTTGGGATTGTAAAATATGGAGATCAAAGTTATTCTTTCTTAAGATAGACCAAAGAAGTTGTACCTGTGCAATTCAAAGCCAATTTCTCAAATGGTTGAACTTTTAATTGAATCCAGAAAATAAAAAGTTGTAAACTATTCACTGTTCCAAGAGAAGTAAAGGGCGATTGGGGAACAAATACCTCTTCCTCCAGAGCCTTATACTGTCTCTCAGCATGCAATGAATCAACTTGCAACTGCAAGAACAATAATAGCAACTTGCGTTGGTCACATTCACATATATTGGAATTGGATTGAAAATTACGTGAATAAGAAGAAAATGCAATCTAAAGAGTAGAAGACAAACCTTCATTGTGGAAAGAGTAGATTGCAGATTGTGGATTTTTTCCGACATTTCATCCATTCGCTTCTCACACTCTTGCAGGTACACTTCCCTTTCCTTTAACTTTCTATTGCTTTCTTCAAGAACCGATTCTGCATTTGTCAAAATGACAAAGCAAGCTTGAAAACATGAAATCGATATCGAGATGCAAATATATGTTGGCGGTGATGCATATAAATAACGTGAATTAGATAGTTGAACGGTAAAATAGTAAGAGGAATGTGGTCACCTAAGTGAGCGATTTTGAGGTTGATTTGATGGATTTGGGAAGTGTGGTGCTCAATTGAATTGGCACTAACAGAAAGCGAAGTGTGCAAAAGAAGAAGAAGGTGTAGCAGCGCCATCGCCATAGTGATGCTTTTCTGCTACTGCGAGAAGGAACTCCCAACTTCACGCTGAACTCTGGAGACACTCCGAATCAACGATCTCCGTTATAACTAAGTTGAAATTGTCTCGAAATCTGAGTTTTCCTTTCTAATTGGAATTTATTATTATTTTTGGTTAATTAAGATCATTTATTTTTAGGAAATAAAACTCATCGTTTCAAGAAAAAAAAATTATGAGACATATTAGTGAGTTTTAGTTTTTAGATAAATTTTAAATAAAATGTGAATATGAAAAATATATTGTCATTTTAAAAAATACATAAGAAAAAAAGTCTTATTAAACAATATTGTAAAGATATTGATTAAAGCATTAAAAAATAATTTATTAGAAATTGTTTTAATATAAGTTTAAAGTTATGACAGAATACATTAATAAAATTGTTAATATAAGTTCAAAATTTTTATTTTAAAGATATTAATTGGCATTCAATGTTTATTACTCATAAGAAAAAAAATTTAAAAAAAATAAAAATTAGTTATTTTCCGTTGGATATAAAAATTTTAAAAATTATGTTTGAATAATTTTTGCAATGAGAAGTCTTTTTTTTTTTAAGTAAAAAAATAGAATCTATTAAAATTATAGTTTTATTTAATAATTTATTGTAAAATCTATATGATAAAAGTTATTATTGAAATCGATATTGATTATTAAAGTAAATCTTTAGTTAGAAATAACACTAAATTATCCTTAAGTTTTGGCTTTCTATCCAATTTCATAATTTTTCTTTGCGAAATTTCTATTTGTCTTTTTTTCATTACTGTTTTCCGTTCAAATTATGTTGTAGGAACGTATGTGGAAACTAAAAATCTTCGTAGTGTTAAAATTTGTTAAGATGTCATATCAAGTAACACATGCAAATATTAAAGTGGTACAAATTTATAGTTTTGTAATTAATCAAGTCTTATCTCTTTTTTTTTTTCTGTTATCTATTACATCCTATCCAAATTTGAAGCCTTAGTCTGTGAAAACCTTCCATTTCTTCAAGATGAAATCTTGGGTGTTTTGTTTCACATTACTCTTGTTTATGAGATAAAGTATTAAAATTGCAGTGCACACACATAGAAGAACCACTTTGATCATTTGAATATTTTTCTTTAAAAAAAAAATTCAATTGTTTTTACTTTACTCATACATAAAACAAATTAAACATTCTTACAAATTAAGGACAAATGTTATTTAACTTGTTTCTTATTTAATTACTAATTAGTAAAGGTACTTAAAATTGTTTACACACTAATTTTAAATAGTAAATAATTTTATGTAAGTGAATATTCTATAATAATAATATAGATATAAATTATTCATGTAAATTTCAAATGAAATAACAAAGCAATTAATTTGTTAAAATAGAAAACTTCTATTTATTTTTAAAAACATAAAAAAAAAAAAAACTAGTATCTCTAGTTAATAACTATGTTTTTCTTTATAAGCTAGTGGAGGGGACTACAAATGAGAAGTTCATAGTGTGCAAGTAGCAAGTAACAAACCAATTGTTCACTGCTGTGATGTTTACTATGGTGTGCTATGCGAATGTCGTGTTTCAATTTGAAACACTCCCTAGATATCATGTTTCAATTTCTTGCGTGCAATCTATCATTGACAAAATAATAATAATAATCGGATAAATGAGATTTGATTAAAAAAAAAGGAAGACGACTTTTCTGCAGGTATTGGGTGTTACTTTCTTGCTTCCTTAAGTGAGTTTCAAAGAACGACAAACTTTTTGTGTAGGTATAGTGCAGTAAAGTAGTTTTGGAGGATTTAAAAACTGAAGGACATGGCTAAATCCGTGAAACATGAAGAAATTTTAAATAGTAAAAAAAGGTAAACAATTCATTTGTTATTTTGTAAATGAGCTTGGGTTTAGTAAAAAATATAATGTCTCTGAATATTTATGATTATATTTTACTTAAGTTTTAAAAAATAATAAAGATGGTCCATAAAACAAATAATGAGGGACCATAAAAAATAATATATCTTTATATGTAAGGTTTTTTTTCTTAGCCAAAGTTCTCTCATGGGTCAAAGAAACTTCACCTCTAGTAAAATGTTAAATTTATTTTATTTATTTTTATTACTATTATCTAAGTAAAGGACTTTAGTCTTATGCATCTTTTGAATTTTGTAGACAGAAAACTACCTCAAGTATTTTTCATGGATAGAGAATGTTGTCGGGGGATTGGATAATTTGAAATTTGGAGGTTAGCTTTTTGTTATTGGAAGTGCACTTTCTAAATATGGAAAAAAATGTCATCTATTGAAGTTAAGATTAAGAGGTTTAGTTTGGTTATAATATTTCAATGTATTTTAATATTTTGTTTGATGGTTTTTGTGGTAGTTATTTCTTTAAAAAGCTAAAAATCTAAACTACATATCCAAGTTTTTTAAAATCGAATGTGTGTAAACTAATGTGGCAGTGCAATGTGTGAATTTGAGTTTGTTTAAATTACAAACTTGTATGACATACATTTAGTAGTTTGTTTTATTACATATGAGTAATTGTTCCAAAATAAGGGTCTGTTATTGCAAGTACTATTTGTGCATATAAAAAAAAATTGTTATACAAATTCAATCCATCAAGACAAGTAATTTTTTAATTATAATTGATCAAGTGAAGAAAAATAACAAAAGTAACTATTAATGTTTAAATACCAAAATAGAAATGAGTAAGTAAAAGGAGTTTTACCCAATTATTCAACACAATAATTTATCTAACTAAACTTGAGGAATGGATATGAATGTTATAACTCATTTTGGGTTATCAGCATTCTCGTGGAGTAAGGATGGATGTGGACTCTAAACAACACTTGAAGTCAACTTTATGACATTTTTCTTTGTTTTGATATTGAGCTTAAGTTTAATATTCAAGTTGGAGTTGGTTTAGACATCTTGATAAGATTGTGAACTAATTTCGTGTACAAGTTAGGACTTCAATTTCCACTTTGGTTGGACTTAGCCTAATTAAATTAGAGGTGCAATGCTTATATAGGTCACTCTCATGCAGGGTCTATTGAGCTTGAAATGCTTCAGGTCTTTGCTTTATTGTAATTGGACAATCCTTTATTGTGATTTAGTTATCCACAAATTAAGCATTTGGACTTGAAGTCTTTGTTTGTATCTTAACCAACAATAGAAAAGATTTGGTCTCCATAATAACCCATCAAGACCAATTAATGGTCTACAACCATCTTTGAAGTCATTTTACAACTAGCTAAACATATACAAAGCCTACAACATTATTGTAGACTTTATGCTATATTGTGTCCATCTTTATAGTAGATATAAGATCACACTTCAAAAATTTTCAAAAGTAATCCCACATCTTTTCATATTTTTTGTTTCACTCCCTTCAACAATCTCTTTAGTTTTCTTCAAAGACTTGTGTATTTTCTTATCCTTCAGCTAAACAGTATATTGGACTTTTATGTAATTATAAACTTTTTTATGTTTCATGTCTGTAATCTTCTTAACTTCTTTACTAATTTCTAGTAACTCATCCTTAGTAACCTTTTTTGGATATTTTATGTGTAGACTGACATAAATCAATTTTTATTATCTTTAAGTTAATTTTAGATTAATTGGATGTCAAAATATTGAACCATGTTGTGATTAATTATTGTTATTGGACTTAATTGTAATAACTTTATTATTAATGGATATGATTTTATAGTTACTGTTGTTGGGTTGAGCTATAATGGTTAGGTCTGACCTATTTTATTATTGACTAAAAAGGTCCATGCTTTAACCATTTCAGAGAAAGTGTTGCCTTATTGAGACAAAGTACATAAAACATCTGAAAGAGTGATAGTATGAGTCATCTTTCTATTTTGGATTTCTCTCACTAATCAAGGAAGTACTTAATCATGGACTCATCAATCTCTACTGTTTCATGTAATTCTAACATTTAATCTTATTATAACATTTAATTATTATTTGTCATATTGAGAATTAGATTAATTTTTTTATCAAGCTTGACCTTTTTTGTAAATTCTTTTACACATATGTGATTTGAATTGAATGTCTTGATTTGATAACTTTGTTTGACATTGTTCTTGGCACAACATATCTCCTAATCACATAACTCACTCCTACATTCAACTCGAACCTTTATTTGGCCATTCTTTACCCATTTGATCTTTCTTCTTAACTAAATTATGTAATCTTTCACCCCCTTACTTAAAAGTCTCTAATGTTGCAAATTTTATCCCCCAATTCCAAGGTAACATGTTCAAATATAGTTTACTCATTGAATTAAGAAAACACATCTTTTGATGTTGCTTCATCATCTGAAGTGACAAGGGTCTTCATCTCTTTAAACATCCAAGAATCATCCTCCACCTTAATAGACTCAGCCTTATGATAAGTGGTCTTGTAACAAACTCCCTATAAACCAGTAGCATTAACTTTTGCATTTGAATAATCTTCAGTGACCACAAGTCTATATTTTCTTATGACATTATTTTTTCCCCTTTTTTAACTTTTTTTTCTCTTTATTTATTTTTTAGCTGGCTATTTCTTTCCACCAACTTCTTCACTTTCTACAACTTTCTCCTTTCCTTCCATGCTCTCTTTGACTCTTGTTTTGGTGCATATAGTCCTCCTTTCAAACATGACATTGTTTCTCCTTCTCAGCTCTTACATCCTCTTTCTCAAATTCTTTTTTTTTTTCTGTATCCTTAGTGGTCAATTTCTTACTCAAGTATCTTAGTATGATATTCTTTCTTGACCTCTTTTTGGGTGTGTGCTTTTCCTTAACTCTTTTTTATTCTTAGTCAAATAAAGAGTCTTTTGTAGATATTTCACGATTAATACCTTCATTTCCTTTTCTCTCGTTAAAATTATCCAAGTCTATGAATTCAAATTCACTTATTTGATTTTCATAACACTCGTGTAATTTTTTTTTAATTATTTTTTGCTATTCTTCTTTGTTATAGACACCATTTTTAATATATTTGCATCAATCAGTAGCTCTCTCAACCCTTCTCCAAAATTCTTCTAAAGATCTAACCAATGCATATTAATCAATTTCTAATATCCTAACTCTTTATGTAATTGG